TATATATATATATATATATATATATATATATATAATCCTTTGCTTAATCCTATATATAATTGAATTGTGGAATTCTAACAATTATATATAGGATTAAGCAAAAGTGGATCAAATAAATAACTTATCTGTTTGATGTTAGCATCTACATGCAATCCATTCATATAGCAAAAGTTGTAGTTGTAGGTAGTTTATACCTTCCTAGGTAGTTTATACCTTCCTGTTTGAACTATTAAAGCATTTGTCCATGAATCCTGAAAACAAAAGGCCTGCTCCTTGAGAAACAAGACCACTTTCAGAGATGTTAAGCCAAGTAAGGCTATAGGGGACTTACGATATGGAAGGTGTCAAAGTGTGTTGAGAGTTGCAAAGGTGATTTGTGCTCTGTGAGAAAACTTGTCACAGCTAAGTTTGTTTCTGTTGTGTAGAGATTTGCTACTGTGTAATATGACTGCACTTTGGGACTGAAGAAAATGACTTATGATAAGATGTTGATGGCATTGCATTTATATCCTGACCTTTTTCCTCCTCTGAGGCTTACAGAGCTGCATTTTATCCTCACAGTGACAACCCTGTGAAGTAGGTTGGGCTGCGAGTATGACTGGTCCAGTGTGACCCAACGAGCTTCAGGGCCAAATAGGACTAAAACTTGTCTCTTCCAGATTGCAAATCCAACACTCCAACCACCAAACCATACTGGTTCTCAATGCAAATGTTCCTTTCTGTGGAAATCTTTAGAAAAAGGCAAAAGATTTATGCAGTCTGAAGAGAAACCAGAGACCTCTTATCTCATCTTAATTTTACATTTAAAAAATCAGTTGCACGGAGTATGTGTGGGCGAGCATGCAAATTGTATCATGATTGTGGCAGTGGGTGAGGTAATGCATAGCACAGAAGTGTAGTAGTGCTCCTGATGGTCTTGAATGGACCTGTGGTCCTTTTGGAGTCCACCTGGAGTAGAGCTTTCAATGTGTTGGCTATCTGTGGAACTCCCTGCTTGATACTGTCAAACAGTCACGGATGATACTCTGTTTTTGGCATCTGCCACTGAAGACATTTTTATCTAAACAAGGCTTCCCTGACTGGCCAACCATGCATTTATTGGCAAAATTTGAATGCAAATATTTTAATTCTTTATTATGATTATTTCCCTCCCTTATTGTTTAACACTAAGGAATCTTATTAGATATAGGGCAGGATATAAATCCTGTTAAAAATACATGAAACAAGTAAGTGCTGGGAATTTCAAACAGACTGTATTTTTGTGGGGGCAGATCTGTAAAGAGTGAAATACCACTTAAATTTATAGTTTGTTAGTTGGAAGTTAATAGGGCTATTTAAAGAAATTTATTCTTTTATGTCAGTTGGAATAGCATAAAAGAATTTTTTTTTGTTCTGTTCTTTCCCACGGAATGAATGATGGTATGTCAAACCAGGAGGATTATACCATTATTTTCTGAAATGGCCAGCACGCATACACACAGAGAACACGTGAAACAGTTACAGCAGGGATGGGATTTGAGGACTTCAGTTCCCATTAGTCCTGGTCAGCATAGCTAATGGTGGGTTATGATGGGAGTTGCAGTCTGGTAATATCTGGCTCACCTAATGTTCTCCATCCTTCATTTATGCACGTCCACAAACATGCCCAACACCAGAGAAGAGTAAATTCCTTTGTGTGTTATTGCCGTGCAGTGTTGCAGGGAGACAGTTTTGTCTACTGTAGCCAGTGCTGATGTCTGCATTGGCATTTTCAGCCTGGCGTGGAGTCTAGTCTTTCTTGCAAAATCCTTTGTGACATTATCTCATGGAGAAATCAGTCATTCAGGTTGCTGTGCCTGTTTGGAATTAGGTATTATTTTTTCACTGAAATTCCATCGCTTTAACAGTCTTTAAACATGCAGGCACCTTGTCTAATGTTTTTCAAATTTTAACATGTATGGGACAGTGAAAAAAAATTGGAAAAATATTCCTCCCTGTTTCTCTGTTCTCTCATCCTTGCTGCTTTGTTCTGCCTGGCTTCAATGTCACTTTCCTTCCCTCCTTGATTTCAAATGTATTTCAGGATTAATGTGGAGGCAAAAATAACTGTACTTGGACGTTTTTCTTATATTCTCCTATTGTTTTATTAAGTGTTGACATGAAATGAACAAGAAAATAAGCATTGAAATGAAATGGACAACCATTAGTCATTGCTAACTTAAGTCCCATTCATTTCAGTGGGTTGACTGTAATAGCACTAATATGGGCTACAATATTATTATTGTCCCACCCTGCTTTCTCTCAGCCGAATTAAAATTTTGATAATTATCCCTTGCCTCCAATCTTTCAGCATTATGTACACAGCATGTTCTGTAGACTTTTTTTTTACTGTTTCAAATGTCATTTTACCAGTTTTCTGCTATCAGTGATATTCTAATGGTGAACTTCAAAGAGCAGAGTGCACAGTAGAAAGCAGATCTCAAGTCATGCTTCAAAGAGAAATTCTTACTTTAAAGGGAGCTTCATACCAAAGATCCAATAAAATCAAAACTTTCCAAACTTCTTTCTTGCAAAGTGTGGGTATTGCTGATTTGATTCATATGAATTCATGCAGCCAGTTCCAAATAGTATGTATGTGTGAATTTCCCAAATAATGTTTATTATGTTTATTTATCTTTCATATTTATATCTCATCCTTTTTACTCCTGCAAGGAACCCAAGGCAGTTTACAGGATGACTTTTCTTTCCATTTTATCCTCACAACCACACATTTGACTGAAAATCAGTGACTGGCCATTAGTCACTCAACAAGCCTCATGGCTGGGCAGGAAGTAGGACCTGGATTTCCTGCACCCCAGTTCAACGTGTTTGGCCAATGATATTGTCAAGGGGTTGATCATAAGGAATGGGGCATCTGCTTCCCCAGAGTAATGATACCCCTCCTACCATGTCATACAGTTCCTAGCAGTTATACCCCATTTGTGTCTGCAGACGTCATTCCATTGAAAATGAAAGCTGTAAGCAACCTGCATATTCAGAGAAAGCTTACCTCTGAATCCAGGAAGCTGAGGCTAAGCTACAGAAGAAAGGTCAGCTTTTAAGTTTCCCTGAGGCCCATGCCATCATCAACAGTGGTGTGGTGGTACATTTTGAAGTGCAAGGTGCTTATCCTGAGAGACAAGAAGGCAAAAATGAAGGCAGCTATATCGATCCTTATCAATAAGCGGTCTCTACTAGGAATAGGTCTTTTATAAAGCTATTGGCTCTTAGTTGCTCATTCAAGACCAGACAACTCCAGAATACTGTGTACAATTGAGATAGCGCATGGCTGTATACTGTTCCTGGGAAATGTAATTTCCCCTCAGTTACTGTAAGGATCACTGCTAAGCCCAGAGGAGATTTCAGGGGTGTGGGGGAGACAGGTGATGCCACCTTCCCTGTTGATCAAGCAGTGCTGGTTTGGCATTCCTTGAAACCCTGGCTCTGCTACACCATTGGTTCAGAATGCACTTCTATTTGCATCACTCTCCTTCAGACTTCTACAGACCCAAATACCTTTCTTCTCCTGGCTCCATCTCCATGTAGAAGGTCCAGCTGCAAATTGGGAAGTGGGGAGCTGCTATTCAATCATCAGCCAAGCACCAGTTTCCCAACTGCCATCCTTCTCCTGTCACTCAGGCATCTTTCATTATGCCACAGAACTAGTGTTGGCATGATAGCAAACATGCGTTGATATAGCCAAGTGGAGAATGCTTTGCTGTGTGGATCTTTCTTGGGATCCAGTTTGAAGTCTCAGTCCTTGGACCCAGAGCATTCATATACATGCACATTGGTGCTTATTGACTCTGCTGTTGCTTTCCAAGATGGCAGCTGTTGGCACAATGAACAGACAGAGTAATAAATTGCTAACATCTGTGGATGCAGCTTGCTGTTCCTGTATTTTAGGAACTGCACAGAATTCTGTTAAGAATGGGGATGGCTCTGCTATACCTTGGTCCTTCAGGGCACAGTTGATATCACTGGGGGGAACTCAGAGCTGGCAGAAAGACATTTTAGTAGAGCAGGGGTGGGCAACTTGTGGCCCTGCAGATGTTTTAGTCAATGGAGAAACATAATGGGAATTGTAAGCCAAAGTACCCTGACATCCTCAAGAGGTTGCTCATCCCTGCCCTGGAACATAGGTATAGTACCCTTTTTCCTGTACAGGACCAATAAACCTCCAGAAAAGTCAGTTGGAGGCTGTAGTTGATGGGTAGAGGTGGCAGGACTGTGTAACTCTTTCTTTCCCTGTGTCACTCTGCCCTTTTTCTACTTCATTTGTGGTTGCGCATACACATGGCAGAAGAAGCCATTCCCAGAGGGGGTGATCCAGAGAGCAAGTGTCTGGAGAATTGGAGACATGAAAGGGAAATTTGTTGAGGGTTATATGTGACCCTTGTGATGCCCATGCCACAACTCAAGATGCACTGGGACATCTTGAGAAATAAATGGCTTCCATCTATTTGCCAGCAAGCTCCTGTACAGCTGAGAATAAATTATTCAGTTACTTATGGAAGCTGTTTACGTTGGTCTTTCCCATGGAATTTATGCCCTGTTTTCCAAGTCAGTGTAAATTTCATGAGGAAAGACCCACACAATTATGAAACAAAGTCTTAAAGAGATTAGAAGTTTGGATTAGAGGTTTGGATTAGAAGGCCTACAATACCACCTCCAACTCTCCTGTCTGAAACGAGAGAATAAGTTAGTTATGTCATGACTTCATTAACTCAAATTTGTCAAGGACCTGGGCTATCCTCTTTGCAATGGCACTTAAGAGAAGTACTTGATACAATACATTTGCTTGATACAATACATTTGCCTAATTAAGTATTTCTGTAATATTCGCAAGTAATCTGAGTGTTGGCTTTCTGTCCACCAATTATATTTTTGTATGTCTGCTCTAACCAGAAACCAATACTTGTGTGGCACCCAAATTTTAGAGGTATACATATTTCTGTTTACTGAATAATATAAGAAGTGGTTGCAAAATAATGTCTTAAGGCTATAGAAAAAAATGCAAGGATGGCTACATGATAGTTGTACGGTTATCTCTGGATATCTCTCTCTCTGGATTTAGAGCTTTCCATCCAGATTTTCAATATTGAAGACTTTGAAATGCTGAATGTATATAAAATTCTATATTTTTATAAAGCTGGAAAGGGAATATTGAACAAAATGAAGGTAGGTGAGAATCAGACATTCTTTGTGTTAAAGCAAGTTGGGAAGGCACAAGTCCTTTTTTGCCCCAGTTTCATGTATCTGCAGAGGATCAGGGCTTGCGCAGGGCACCAATCCATATTCCTTTTGTTTTGCAGACAGTGATACTTGTTTGTTTTATTTATATCCTGCTTTTCTCCTGCAAGGAATCTGAGGAAACTTACATAATTTTCATCCTCCTTTTCCCTTTATTCTCACATAAATGCTGTGAGCTAAGTTAGGCTAAGAATCAGTTACTGGGCCAAGACTACCCAGAGACCTTCATGGCCAAGTGGGGACTAGAAGTTGGGTCTCCTGAATCCCAGTCGAACATTCTAACCACTGTGCTACATTGGCTCTTTGCTATGTGCTAGGCTGTTGTGTGGGCAGCTAATATGGGTCACAGTCCATTTCTTTTAAGAGGCTTCTGGATATGAGAGGCATTCTTCTCTCCCTTTTTGTATCCATAACTGGAATTTGTGATAAGCTATTTTCACTAACTATAAGGCAGCTGCAAAATCTGGCCTGGTCATTGTACCATCCATATTTGTCTTTAGTATGTAAT